CATTGCCCCATTACACAGTCACTTTGCTACCAAAATTGCATCTAAGTAGCAGATCAAACATCTACATGGGGAAGAATATATGAAATTGCTAGAGAGTTGGTCATTGCTCTGTAATAATGCATTGTGGTTCTTAAATTTTAAATCAAAATCTCAAAGGAAACATTTTCAATGATGAAAGTTTGGTAAAAGGATGGCCAGGGTTGTAATGAATATGAATTATTTCTTTTAGTAAAAATATTTTCAAAATTTATCTAAGAAATAATGTAGTTCCGGTATTGGTTACAGCAATCTGGAAAACATTCTCGCAGTTTTTCTATTATCTTTGGTAATGAAATTTTCATAGCACTTACAGAAAACTTTAGAAATAATGGAATTTCATTTAAATAAAACAATTTGACCCAGTTTTGTCCCACTGAAAACAGAGAGGTATAATTTCTTGTGGGACTATATCCCACCAGGTTGTGGGAATGTTGTGTCCAGGTACAAAAGGACAAATTTGGCATACTAAATCCCTGAACTTATCAAATCCCGTGGGGAAGGGAAACTCAGCAGGATGAAAGGAAGCTTTGAACTCTCAGGGACCTCGGCCTGCATTCAAACTTTCTCACTAAGGAACATTGTGACTCAGGGGGCTCTTCTGTAGGTTTATAGCCAAAATATCCATTCAAAATAAGTGGCCATGACCAGTTTGTCTTTCTACTGACTGGGTGCACTTCAGAAAGAAGGACTGTTATTCTAGCTTTGCTTTTCTTACCTGTAAGATGGGAATAATTTGTAGCACCTCCACAATGGCTGGAACACTTAATAAGGCAATGTACATAAAAGCATGTGGCACCTGCTGTCAACAGCACAATAATTATTCTTTGTGTGTGTCATTCTTGTGATAGTATAGCGCCCTTTCTTTCTAACTAGTGCTAGAATCAAGGATGTCTTCATGAGACATGCATAACAACCACCCACATGTAAACTCAGGCTGACCTCAACCAGTCTGTCTCCATAAGACCTTCCATCAACTCTCTGAATCCAGAGTTGGGATGTTTTAAAACATATAGTTAATACCATAAGTCGGGGAACTGGTTTTATGGAAAGAAAAAAAAGCATTATAGCTATATTAAGATTATATGGAAACTATCCAGCCATTCTCGACATCATGGTTTAAAACACAGGAGCTGCTCAGTTAAATGGGTGTCTGGATGGTTTCCACCTGGACATAGTCCTAATGATAACAACCAAGTTTTACAAAGGAACTTGATATTTGGAGCTGCCATCCCCTCAACAGTAGTCACAAAACTGAAGTTGAGAACTAACTGGATGTTCACCCTTGAGTTCAGGGAAGCTGACTGAAAATCCTTCTCAGGGTGATTTAATACACCTTATATTTTCCTACCTATGATTGTCCATAAAAGACCAACAAGGTCAAGCATTTTGGAAGGCCACTGAACTGACAGGTAAGTGGCAAGACATTATAATCCACTGGATAAGTCAGTCCAACTGAACAGAGAAAATACAAGTTCTTCAGTTTGGTTTCTGTTTTCTTCCTCATTGCCCGTTAATAAATTCATTACGTAACTACAAGGTAACACAATGACTGGTGATTCCATTCAGAGCCTGAATCCTGTCATTGAAATAAACAGATCTTGAGACAGAATAGACAGACATATTACTGTGTAAACATACAACTCCACAGACCTGAGAACTGCAATTTCACCTTGTTATGCCATGCTTCGCCCTCTTTTTTGGGACAGAGACATCTTTTTGGGGAGGTTACAAACTCCATTTGATTTAGAAGACCTAGGTGGGGGCTGTTTCAAGACCCTAACATGGCTCAGATTCATAGAAGCTTCTGGTCTTTTCTCCTCCAGAAAGTATTCATGATTAAAGTTAAATGTATTTTTATGTTGCTAGATTTAATTACTAAAGAGTATAACTACTTAAATTTGAACACTGACAAATGTTTGTAGGTATATCTGCAAGGGTAGACACATATACTCATTAATTTAATTTCCTTTAAGAGACTATCTGTATACTTTGAAACAAAAATAAATTCTTCTGTGATTTAACCTCGTATCTTCTGGATCCTAGGTCAGTACTTTCCCCGCCAATACCACAACTGACACAAAAGGGGAGATTAAACCTAGGTCTCCAAACTTCCCCCGTTCAGTACTCTTGCCTCATAAGCATTCAGAGTTCCAGCTGAAGTGGGTAGGATGTCACGGCATGAACAGATAGTGATAAAAAGCACTGTATGCCAATGGAGTATACTGAGAAGGAAAATACCCAGTGTTCCAAAAAACCAGCCATATTGTTGGGGTCAGGCTCAGACAGAGCAATATAGTCAAAAAGAAAGAGGGAGACTGCTAGTTCCAAGTTTATACTCAGGCATACTGTGGCCAATGTTTTCAGACCTGGTGCCCATGTGTGTAGTCCTTATAAACAATGCATACTCCATTGGAAGATCTGTGTTTTGTCAACCAGGGAAAACAGGCCAAGATGAGGAAAAGTAATAAAGTGTCCCAGTCATTAAGGGATTCTGCCTTACAAGACTCTAATCTCTCTTGACTGCACTAAGTGTCAGGAGTGTGCTTAGGACACTTTCTGGCTTTGGGTCTTTCCTGCTGCATGGCTGACTTACAGGCTGCTCCTCACCAAGGTGAAGGCATTAGCAGTCTGTCTATACTCAGAATGATCTTAATCACTGGGAGGATTGCTCTGCCAAATGGAAAATCCTACGAGGTAGTTTTAAAAGCACACTGCAGTTAAATATGGGAGAATGATAGTAATGGCTAAGCAGATACTTTGGAAGCTAAAAACAAAAATAACTTTATTACAATTCTGATCTGTCCCATGTTAAACCCATACCCTATCATAAGAAGGGAACTTTTTCCAGATAAAATCTGATGGGCAGTGCTTAGACTTTAGATCAAACAGACAAAAAGAGAGGAGCTCATTCATAAAATGGACTCAGTGTCTTCTAGTTTTACTGATGCTTCCTATAGGGTATTTTAGTTGTATTGACTACACTATATATTACTCTGCTATGAAGTGCTGTTCTCTGGAAATGCAGCCTCTAACTATAAACCACAATTGACGAGTTTATTTCTGTTAGTTACAAACTGCTGAAACATTGCATTCTATGATATATACGGAAAGCAACATATTTCACAGTAGGAGCCTAATAGTCTTGCTTTAGGAGTAAGATAATTTTACACTAGAAAACATATTTTTATATTTTTTCAAGTTTGGAAACGTGTTGATTTTTTAATGCACGCGCACGTGTGTGTGTGTGTGTGTGTGTGTGTGTGTGTGTGTGTGTGTGTGAATCTTATTGACTTTTTAATGGGGATGAAGTAAGGCAGGAGGGAAGGCAGGGAGGATTAGATCTATTGTTTCCTAGAGTAACAAGGGGAAGGGCAATTCAAAATGTGATTAAAGAAAAGCTGAAATGTACAGTATCAAAGATGACTTTGATTTTTGTGTTTTCATATAATTTGGTCCTTAATTCAGAATTATGGTTTTATTATCCCCTTCTTTCGTTTTTTCTTGCTTCTTAAAATTGAGAATTATTGGTTGTTGAAAATGGACTTTGAATTAAAAGGCACAGATCAGTCTAGAAAACCAAATAAATGGACCACTGATGGGGTCAGGGCTTTGGGGCTTTGCTACTGCACTGCACCAAGAACTTAGAAATGCCACTGACTTTCTCAAATCCTCAGTCTATTTGGGAGTCATTCCCAGTTGTTTCATGCAATTATTCATGATCTTCCAAAAGGTGAGCAATTCACTTCAAGTGTACCATTAGGCCACTAATGTCATAAATTATTTCAAATTGCAACTATGTGCCTATTACACAGAAAAGTCGACTTCCATTTTCTATTATTAGGTATGAAAGAAGTTGTGAGAGAAATACTCCCTTGATACTCTCTTGGACAAATGGATATTAGAAAATCTACAATAGTTAATCTGAGGAAATTGGTTTCTCCAAACCCCTCCTTCAGTTAGCATTAATAAAAAATGAAGACAGTGCTGAGTGAATTGCAGGGCCCTGGCTTCAGAACTTCAACCCACCATCATGTAGTATCTTATTCTGGGCTCTTCCTGGATGCCCTTGTTTGTCTTCAATATACAGGCACCTGATGACCTGTAAATAGTGAGGTCATGGGCTGACTAGCCATAGCAATTCACTCAACATTTCATGTGCAATCATGGCTACTTAGATTCTATGTCCCTTGTCCATTCCAGTCAGTGGTGGCTGAATATTTTGTAAAATAATGTCTTTACCTGAAATTATACAGTGTTTGAACAACTAGTTAAAATGTGGGAAACAAACCATCTAGAGATTTCTTTTTTCACTGAAATCACAGTTGTTTTCATATCCCAGGTATCAACCTGGTCTGTGTCTACATACTTAGAGAGCCTAATGGTGATCTCATTAATTTTACTGTTACTTATTATGGGCACTATAATCTGTTTGAATCACTTCAAAATTAATATGTTAAAATCCTCACTCCAAAAGTGATAGAATTAGGAGGTGGGTATTTGGGGAGGGGATCATGACATGAGAGTTGAACCCGCATGAATGGGATTAGTGCCCTTATAAGAGGAGGCCTGAGACAAACCCCTCACCTCTTCCACCATGTGGGATTAGAGTAAGAAAACAGCTTTCTTTGAGGAAATGGTCCCTCACAAGATGCCCTTTATGCTGGTGTATTAATCTCAAACTTTTCAGGCTCCAGAACTGTGGGAAATAAATTTCTGTTGTTTATAAGTCATGTCATTTATGGTATTTTGTTATAGCACTCCAAGCAGACTAAGACGATGACAAATCTGATTCTCCCTACACCCCAACCAAACTACATATTGTTATGAGTCAAGGTTCATAGTTCCAAGGTGCAGAGGAAAGAACAAGATTAGCTCAACACTAAGACCCTGTTTTCTTGACAAATATCCCCCAAAAGGCCTGATTTGGAAATCCAACCACTCACGATTTGAAAGATACTGACTTTGTAGAAGCTCTGGTGGTTGGGTCATTCCACTCTGAAAAGAAAAGATATAAACAATTACTGTTCATGTTTCTACTGTCAAAAGATTATTCTGAATTAATCTCCAAACATGTAATCCCCCTAGTTATCTTCTTGTGATAAGTAACAGATGAAAAAAAAAGGGAACCAATTAGATCTATCATGGAAATGGAAGTCATTATGTTAACTGAAAAAGGTCAGGTACAGACAGACAAACTTTGCATCTTCTTACTTCTTTTTTTCTTTTTCTATTTTTCTTTTTATTTTTTTGAGATGGAGTCTCGCTCTGTTGCCCAGGCTGGAGTACAGTGGCGTGATCTCGGCTCACTGCAACCTCTGCCTCCCGGGTTCAAGTGATTCTCCTGCCTCAGCCTCCCGAGTAGCTGGGACTACAGGTGTGCACCACCATGCCCAGCTAATTTTTGTATTTTTAGTACAGATGGGGTTTCATTATGTTGGCCAGGCTGATCTCAACTCCTGACCTCGTGATCTCCCAGCCTCGGCCTCCCAAAGTGCTGGGATTACAGGCGTGAGCCACTTTGCCCGGCCTCACTTACTTCTGAGAGCTAAAAATTAACAATTAAAATAACTTTTTGTTATGGTTGTTCTTTCATGTTTTAATGATTTTGAATAGGAAAAAGGAAAAAGTGAGGGAGCAGAAGACATGGATGTTTGGACTAAGAAGGATTTTTCAAAACCACTTACTTTGTAAGGTGAATCCTGGGGTCAGATGCTGCGATTCCTATAAGGAAGAACATATATGATACAAACATTAGTTAAATGACACAAGGAGAACAGCAGTGTATTAATCATTGCTGAAGATATAGTTGACTAATGTTTGCAAATAGGAAATTGCTGTTAACAATTCCATTAGTTAGGCTTCTGTCTATAGTTCTATTTGAAGGATAAATACTTGCCAGCCAAACCTGCTGCAACATGATCATAACTGCCATTTAATCAAAATTATAAGTAAGACTGGTATCTATTTGGAACTGTGTGTAACATGGGGACAAATGACCCATATGTGTGAAATTGAAGTGTATAATTTCTCAAGTAGCTGAAAAACGATGTCTCTAAAAGAGTAAAGAGGGTTTGAGTCAAACAATTGTGTTCGTTTTAAAACTGTAAACAAGATCATAATTAATAGATTTGCTCAGTTTTTCCCTTTTATAGAAACAGATCCAACTTTCTATGACACATTGCACAGATGTACCTCATTTTGTATATAAGAAGTGTTCTTAAAACTGCATTGCAAGTCTGTTGAAGTATAGGAAGCAATCTCAAATGTTATTTAAAGGAAGTTAAATTTGATTTGAAAGTCACACTATACACAATTCATTCACTGATTCGAGAAATCCAGATTTGCACATACTGCCTTGCTGGGAGTCTGGCACACCTGTGTGGATACTGACAAAACTTGAAGGCAGAAGCATTACAGTAATGTTTAGGGCACACATGGCACTGTATGGATGGAAGAAAAACAGTACAAACCACAAGGCAGGTATTCCAAAACTGGAGACAATGAATTCAAGTAAATACAAGAATTAGTTCTATCAATCACTGTTCCAAGTAATCTATTTATTAAGCCTAATGTTGACTTTCTGTAGATGAACTAGGCTCACAGTATTCTTTATGTTTTATAAAAAATAAGGAAGAACTATAACACTTTGCTTTAATCAAAAGTGAAATTCCCAGTTTATTTACTATGGTTCTGTTGCTCAAGAGATTTGTCTTCTGGCAACATCACCACTCCAGAAGACTACCACAAACTCAGTAAGAGGCAGAAAAGGCCTCTTAGAGAAAGAGCTGTCTGTCACAAAGCCCATATAGTTTGCTGCTCAGGGGCTTCTGTGCTCTCCCTGATAGAGAACTGTCTTTTGACAAAGGAATCTAAAATGCTTGACTACTTGATTCCCACTCATTTGCAAATCACAGGCGGCAAGGAAGGAGAAACACTTCTAGAGGCACAGGTGCTGAGAAAATTGACAGGTGAAAACCAATAGCAAAGGAATCCACAAAAAATGATGACATGAGGCACATGGTACCATTACATGTGTTGCTTGTTATTTACAACGTACTTTTCTTTCAAACCAACATTTCGGTAGGAATCAAACGAAACAGGAGTGAATGTATAGACTTCTTGCTTTCACCATTTTAGCCCACTTGCTTCTACATTTATTATGGGGTTGATGGTAGCACAGACAATAGACAGAAAATGCAAATTGTGCCTGATTCTAAATTGTGCACTTACTACAAAAGCCCATTTAAACAACAGTTCTATTGTATATACTTGTAAATGTCAAAATTGCAACTTGCACAAATTATCTCCAAAATTGGAGAACCCAGCTGAAAACACTGCAATTGCTGTCCAAGTGTTGGACCTGAACTGGATGGAGAGCTCCCTTTGCTGGACTCGATGCTAGGGAGGACAGTAAGTCACAGAAGTCTAAAAAGGGTGAGTGGGAATGCAAAAAGGAATAGCATACACCCATACAGGGACAGTGAGCTAACTGTTCATTTAGTTCTGACCTCTTTCATAGGTGAAGGAAGATCATTAATCAAGATTTGGACCAATGTTATTGTCAAAATCATTACCCTAAAACCTAAGTGTTTCTCCTTTGGGTGTTTGTCCTTCTACAAATAAAGTCCAAGCTCCGTCAGGTGGTATCTGAGGAGCTTTCCAAAGACGCGCCTACTTGCCCAGGTTTCCTCTCTTTCCACTCTTCATCACACAAACTTTAATTCTGCCACTTGAGACCTTATATCACCATGCATAACAGCATGATCCCTCATCTCTCATGACCTGGCTAACACTAGTCTTCTGCATGCTGTATTCTTCTCTTCGGCCCTTCTTCACCCATCAGCATCTTAATCATCCTCTAAATGCTGCCACATCAGTGGTGAGCACTTCTTCAACTCCCCAAGGGAGTGTTAGATATTACTCTGAGTCTTATCTTCTCTATAAAGACATTTACTACATTGTTTTGTGATCTATGTGATAACATGTAGAGGACTTTTCTTCACCCCTAACTTTAAGTCCACTGTATATTCTCAGTAAATAATTTCTGAATAAATGGATGGAAGGAAGAAAGGAATAGGGGAAGGAAGACATTATATATATTTTTAAAGCATGTTAGAATAGCCATGTCTAGGCATTTTAAAAACTGCTGACAATGAAGCAAATCTTACTGGGAGAAAGTAAATAAAAATAATATTAAACATTTAACAATAGAACTGTAGAATAAAAAGCTCTGTCAATGTGATGTGGTGTTTTGTAAAGATCCATCTTCTTGTGAGCAAGAACTGGAAAGTGATAAAAATGAAAATCAGTTCACTAAAGAGTACAGGTTTTGTAACTTTAAAATCTTGAATGTTGTTGTTCCATCATCTATTTGATATTTCTTAAGGGATGAGTCCTCCAATTTCTGATTCATCCGTTCTAGGTACAGTGACTTAGACAATACCCTATGGAGTAAGATATGCATGCCAGTATCTGTGTGTATATTATCTTAAAGACTCACTTTCAATAAAAATGATCTTCATATTGCTATTCTGAGGGGTGAGAGAGAGAGTCTAGATTTTATGGCACTGGAAGACCAAGGCCATTTCTGTCACTGAGAATCCAGTTCGAAGACTGGTATAATTAAAATAACACAAAGAAAAATGCAGGAAGGAGGAGAACTGACCTGTCCTGGGATGGAAAATGTGTTCTGCTCAGAGTGTCCAGCAGTATGCATGGCAGTGAGAGGAGTAGGCCAGGAATGGGTCATCTCCTGATGGGGAAAAATAAAGCAACTTTATTTCCGGGCACATAGAAAATCAAGCCCTTTCTTGGCAGTAAACAGAGTAGGTTCTTTATAATTACTAAGTTAATTTACTCTTTTCTTTTTAGAAGGAGTCTTGCTCTTTCACCCAGCCTAGAGTGCAGTGGCGCAAGCTAGGCTCACTGCAATCTCCGCCTCCCTGCAACCTCCACCTCCCAGGTTCAAGCAATTCTCTTGCCTCAGCCTCCCGTGTAGCTGGGATTAGAGGTGCCCACCACCATGCCCAGCTAATTTTTGTATTTTTAGTAGAGAAGGGGTTTTACCATCTTGGCCAGGCCAAGGTGATCCACCTGCCTCGGCCTCCCAAAGTGCTAGGATTACAGATGTGAGCCAGTATGCCCGGCCAATTGACCTAATTTTTAAGGTGATTTTAAAGTCATTTGGACCATCCAGCAGATGCTCTCCCTTGTTGTGAGCTAAAAACTTGTCACCCAGGAACTTCTACCTATAGATTGTACTTTGGAGCTGCACAGAATGCATCTCCTCCTTCTTTTGAATGATGAGCTTTGAGCTGTTGGAAGATTGTAATCTATCTACATGGTCTCTTCGCCAGGCTGAGACATTCTCAGCTTCTTCAATCATTTATTGGGAACCTTCAACTTTTCTTCTAATGCTCAGTTTCTGTACTCTGTCACTATCTTTGGGGCTTCCAGGAGGAATTCCAGATTGCCTGGGGCATTTCTAACTAATGGTGTCCTATTCCAGTTGTGATCTGTCAGCTCAAGGGAGGACAGTACTGTCACTTCCTTCTGCTACTCATCTTCTCTTGATACAGTCCAACCGTTAGTGACATGTGATGCACATATTGTGGGTTTTCCAATGCAAAGATGAAGCAGCTGAGGAGAATTCTTTCTCATTCACAGAGAAGGCTACTATGTGATTTGTAGCTCGGTTTTACACAGCCATACACATAGACAGTGTATTTGTGAATCCAACTCTTAAAATAGGAAAAGCCCCTGAGGCTCCCACTCTCTGTTATCAGCAGCTCTTTCAAATACTCAGTTTGGAAGAGGTGCTGTTCAAATCTTACTTGAGTCTTAGGGCACGTGGCCAACATGCTTTACCCTAAGAACAAAGATAATTAAATTACATGCTCAGAATCCCAGCAACAGAAAGATGATAAGTTTTGTGAAGAAGGCAGGAGTCAGTATGTGTTGGAGTCATCATTTTCATATATAAACATTAGGCATTAAACAAAAGTCATGATAGAAATAAAGGAGGGATTTGGGGAGGGATGAAGGGATCAAAGTTTATGAAAGTCTTTTTAAGTGAGTAAGTTTCATAATACTTGTTTTTTTTTTCCAGTCTTTATAAGTAACATAATTAGTCATTTCAAAGATAATAATAAGAACTCTCAGCTAGCACTAAAACAAGGTATTTTTTTTCCTTCTATAATTACTCAGTTCAAAAAGAGTCTTTGATGTATGAAGAGCTGTAATGCAAAGAGATACTTCACAGATTCATTCACAGTGGCACTGCTGAAGCAGAATTTGTAAGTATTATTCTGACAAAGATGGAATTTTACCTAGCACTATTTAAAAAGGAGGAGGTAAGTACATTAAAAATGCATACACAATTTAGAGGAGATGCTTAACCTACTTAAGAGATAGACTACTTCCAAGTGTTTCTGAGTTGTGCATTTGTATCTAGTTGATAACATTTATGACAAATCCTACTTATATATTCATCAAAACTGGCCCCAAATTAACTCTATGTGACAACAGTTTAAACCTGAATTCTAATTACTATGAGTTTTTAAAATCCTCAATGATGTCTTTTAAAATTTAGATGGTTTTTCCTGATTAAGGCTCGCTCGTCTCCAAAATAGTCAGATCATTCAAAATATATAGCTTGGGATGGGGGATATGTTGGTATAAGGATACAAAGTTTCATTTTGAAGGAGTAAGTTCTGGAGATCCATTGTATAACATGGTGACTATAGTTATTAATAGTAATAATGTACTGTATACTTGAAAATTGTTGAGAGATTTTAAATATTCCCACCATAAAAAAGTATGTGAGGTGATGAATATGTTAATTAACTTCATTTAATCATTCCACAATGTATATACATATCAAAACATCCTGTTTTACCCTGTAAGTATATATTTTTGTCAAAATATATTTATTTCAAAATAAATAAAATATAGTTCATATTTAGTCAGAGTCAAAAAAAGAGCAGTAAGCCTCTGCCTAAAAAAGGAGTGTTGTCTGTTTTCAGAAACTACTGGATATGCCTAAATTGATTAGAGGCTTAGTTTTATCCAGTTTCACCACTGATTTTAGAGGTGTGCCTCTAGGTTTATTAAAAGGTGTTTCAGACACTGGGAAAAATAAAGTTACTTCTCAAAGGTGTAGCTTTTCCCTTAGATTTCCGTATTTACTCTGAGGCAGAATCTGATTATCTTGAATTACGAGTGGAATGCACCGCCCTGTTGGCCAATCTACATGAAACTGCACAAACTTTTGCATTTTCAATTACAACTGATTTCAAACTGTATTTGAAACCGTGAAATTTCATGAAACAGCACACTGAGTCCACGTTACCGCTGATGCATTTGATTACAGTAGCAGGATGTAGTTAAAGGAATATAATTTCCTGAAAGAATATCTTCTGCAAAAGACTTTGAAGCAAGCTCTTTCACTTCTCAAAATGAGTCAGACTTGTAAAGTGTGGCACGTTCACAGCAGATATTCCATTGTTATCCTTTTCATTAACACTTGAAGGATATTAATACATTTTATGTTCTTGCTATTCCTAAGATAAGGACACCTATGCATTCTTTCCCAGCTTTAGTAATCCTTCACCCAGTAATCAGGTAGGGATGAGCCCCTGCTCCCAAAATGTTGCCACAGCTTTTACCAATAGGATCCAATGATGACTACCTGCACACAATACCAGGAATCACTTCTCTTTTAACAAAAATAAGTTAGACACACACACACACAGACACACACAGTCACACACACACACACACACACACACACACACACACACACACACACACACTTGAGATTAGTCCGAACTTCCACAAAGAAGCACTACTTCATGTTTGGGATCCTTTGATCCTTTGAGAGAGAGAGAGAGAGAGAGAGAGAGAGAGAGAGAGAGAGAGAGAGAGAAGGAATTCATATTTCCAATGGGCAACTGAGGAAATGGGGGTTCCACAAGTTGAGGTTACTTACACACAGCCTTACATTTAGTAGTAAGTAAATGTTGGCTACTGGTACAAGAGTGCACACTCTTCCACTATAAGAAATATGTCTCCCACTTTGTAAGACTGACTAACATGGATAATGAAGAAAAGACTAAGGAATACCGTTTAATCTTTTAGTATTTGGCAAAGAATAGGTTTCATAAGTGATAGAGCATTCTACATAATTTCTAGTAATAGGAAGACACTTATATTAATGTGATATGAAGACCCCAAAGTCAAACCCCACAAAATCACAAAAGGTTCAATTTCCACCATATTATCTATACCATAGCTCACGGCTAGGACTCGAAACAAATCCAGAACCACTTGCAGGTACCCTCGCTTTGCTCAATTTAGACACAAAAGCTCGGTATGCGACAGGCCGAAGGGCAGAAGACAGTCTGTGTTCCAGGGTTTGCTAATCTGAAATGGATTCTGTACTCACCTACCATACAGCTACCTGAATTGCTGTTCTCTCAAGTAACTCGTATGTTGTCACAAGCCTTACCTTATTCACCTTTGCATCTCTCCTGCTTAGTGTGTAGTAAGTAATTAGTTGGTCTTTTTGTACCAAAAACTAAACAGGCAGGGATTAGCCTCACACCCTTTTCACAGATAAGGAATCGAAGCACAAAGAGGTAAAGTGACTTGTCCAAGGTCACACAGCAAATGGCAGATCTGTTTGGTGGATTCTTTGCATTTGTTCTAGTAATTTTTAATGTTATGCCATTATAAGCCAGTCACTGGGACATAGAAATGATAAAGTCAAGTACCTCTCTTTGAAGAGCTCACTGCCTGACAAGCAAATCACCTTGAGAGGGGAATGAGCAAAGATGCAGAGAACAAGGTGGTGGGGAAAGCCACCAGAAGTGAGAGAACCAGTGTGTGTGGGTGAGTGTGTGTGTATTCCTTTTAGGGGCTATCATTATACCTGGCATATAGCAGCTGTTCAAATAATGTGTTTGGGTTAAGCATAAATATTAAGGTACTTACCATAAAGAGCTCAAACTGAAGAGGTGATTAGGGCAATTTTTCAAATGGCCACCTTAATGAAGGCAAATGATGATGATAGTTCACATATTTCATTGATGTTGTTATAGTCAGAAAGAGTCCCCAAAGTAACCTGGACTAAGTATTAAGATAGGGAGGGCTTAATTCAAGTCTAGCTCTGCAAAAAGCTACCTAGGCGGCTCTGGTCAAGTTACTTCTCTGCTCTGGGCCTCAGCTTTCCTGCTTATAACATATGGCCTTTGACTTGGATGGCCTTTAGTGCTTCCAGTTAGGAATACTGTTAATCTCTGATTCTACATGTTCTGTCTACTGCAGGGGCTTGACATAAGGAAAAGCAAACTGATAAGTCTGCAAGGGCTCTGGAAACCATATAGTGTTATACACATTCAAAGCTCATTGCTACCAGCCCAACAGGTATGGCTATGCATTCCCAGTATGAGCCTGCATGCCTTGGCTCAGCAACCAGGCAGCTTGGGATCTACGCAAGGCTCAAGATGGGGCTTGTATACACCTTTCTCCCTTCCCTCTACTGAAATACCAATAATGTAATAAATACAGTTTTGAAAGTATTCACAAATTCTTGTGATTAAGAATAGATGGGAATAGCTGAGTGGCTCAAATAAAAATATGGTTGAATAGAAGAATACATCTGCAAAATCAGTTCAAGTTTATTAATATTTTCACAGGGAATCAGAAGTACATAACTGACAAGTCATGGTAACTGAGTCATGGTAACTAACC